GGAAAAGTCAAGGGATTTCTGCTCATCGTCGGCTGGACCAGACAGAGAGAAATATCGGGGGCCCCTGGGCACACAGGAGGGCAGCCCCACCACAGCCGGCAGGGCTCGGAAGAGGGAGAGAACGGTCTAGCCGAGCTGCAGTTACGCCCAGTGCACCGACCACGTGCGCTCCGCTTTGCTCCGCGAGCCCCACGACAGCCACGGCGGCGAAGAGGGTTAAAAGGCGTAAACCCTTTGCACGGGAGAATGAAAAAGGAGCGAGCGGCAGATAAGACACTCCGGCGACTCTTGGAAGGACAGAAAGCCAAATTATCGCAGAGGAGGGTCTCGGGGGGAAGTGACCCCCACGCACCACACGCTCCACTACGCCGCACACCTGTCGGATTTGCGGGCGCTGGCGAGCACGGAGACTGGCGCCAGGCGCGGAGCAGAAAGCAGGACTGAAAGTCTGAACGGGGCTTTTGGAGCCCTAGGTTTCCTCTCACACCCACCTACGTGCCCAAGAGATCCCACCTCCCAAAGCTGCGCCTTACCAGAGACCAGTGATGCCTTTTCTAGAGACCCCATCCATAAAGGCTGGAGGGCCAGAGACCAGGCATAGGAGGGCGGGGGTGGAGGCATGGGGCGGAGAGCCAGGAAGCGGGTGAGGTCTCCGACCCAGCCGCGGCGACCCCATCCCTCTCCCCAGACCGGCTCTCGGACACCAGCGGACGGGCATGAGCCGCCACCAGTCCTGCAAAAGGCTGGAGGATTCTTCCCTGGAAAACTGAAGGGCCCCCAGAATAGAGACTTGGAAGGTCCCCACCAGTGAAAAAGTGAGCTTGCAGTCTGGTCACACTACAGGAAACCCTGGGCCTTGGTTGGAACCTACCAGCTGCCCATGGACACCTTCAACACATCCCTCTGTTTTCAACCCGGCCCTGCCCTCCCTTAGGACCCATGCCCCCCCGCGCCCACGCTTGACAGGTCCAGACAACAGCAAGTGCTCACAGGGGCTAGGTTCTTCCCCATTCCCTCTCATCAGACTCCTCCCTGCAGAGGCAGAGATTCCAGTAGTCTCTAATCTGTCAAGTCAGTCCTCCACGCTCCCCGATTCCCTCTCCACCTCAGTACATATGGTGTGTGTGTGTGTGTATGTGTGTGTGTGTGTGAAAAGATATGTCTTCTAGTCTCATCAGAAACTGTGTGTTCATTCCTCTATCTTAAAAACCAAACGATCAAACGACCTTATTTCTAAAATACAGCATTTAAAGGAAAGATGGCTTCAGGTGCATCACAGAATGTAAAACCTCACTCTTAAGTGGGTCACCGTTGTGCAAAACAGTCCATCGTTCTTGTTGCCCTAATATTCATCAGTGTCATCAAAAATCCTAGAGGCCCTTAGACGTCAACAGCTGTTCATCCAGACCTCCTCCTTCAGCCACTCACGCTGCCACTGTCGGCTGTGTGAAAACCCACTTATACCTCATATGACTTGGTTTCCAAGTCCTTAATGTAGTCCTCGGCATCAGGCAAGCTCTTGTAATACGCCATGTTTCTCTTCATCATTTCGTCATCGGGATGCTTCAGTAGAAAGGTGTGAGCGGCAGCAATGGCCTTTGGGAGATTATTTGCCTAAGTACAACGAACAGACATGACATCTACTCAATGGAAGATGAACAGTGATTTTTGCAAAACAAGAACGCTCAGTCCTGCAAGTAACTCTGTGTTTCAACACAGGGTTTCCAGCCGGGGGTTCACTGACTTCCATGGCCCATGAAACCTACACTCTCTTGCTCTCCTGCTTCCAATGGGGGTCACCAGTGAGGAGCCCCAGTGGGAGCCCGAAGGAAGGCAAAAGGGTAAGGTTGGATTGTTTAGCCTCCTGGCTCCCTCCCTTCTGTCACCTTGGGCTGCTAGTGCCCCTCAACTGAAGGCCACAGCTCCTCTCAAGGCGGCCCTCTCCAGACAGTCTCCCTCCTTCCTGCGTCCTGGAACTGTCCTCACCCTCGCCCTTTTTGGCCAAGGGGTGCTCACACTTACCATCACTAGCCTTTGTAAACAACCACCCTCAAACATTCCTCCAACTACCCAGTATGACTACGCCACGCCTTCTGGAAAAATACATTAGTATTTTCCAAGATACGTATATGTTCCTAAATATATTAATATTTTCCCACATGTCTGGCAGAACCTCCTGCTCACCATTCTCGATGACCCCCATCACCGTTCCCTTATCCATCCACTGGGCAAACATTTGCTGAGAGCCTCCTGCCTGCCAGCCGCTGCTCTAGGAAGTGGGTCTGTAACAACGAGCAAAACAGGGAAAGAAAACCCCTGCCGCCATGTACCATGCCCTCGAGTATGCTTCTCGATCTCCTGGCAACATCCATTAAGGTGTGTGGCCCGAGAGCTTCGGGCAGGGCACCCCCGTGGATAGTGACCAGGAAGGCAGAAGTCCTCGGGGAGGAAGCGTGTGTTGGGGTGTGGGCTCCAGCAGGCGGGAGGGCAAGGATGCGGACGCCCCCCTGGGCGGACGCGCGACCCGCAAGCAGAGGGCCCCCACGCTGACGTGTTGTCCCTGGCCGTCCCCGGGAATCATGGCACAACCTCGCTGTGGGGAAGCGGAGGCACCCACACATGTGCACGGAGCCTCCTTCGGCCAATCCAGAGGGCCGCTCAGAGGTGGGCGTGAGGTTTGCAGACAGAAAACAAAGGGACACTTGGCACATCCTGGAATTCTGCGCATCAAAGGGTAGCGTATATCTGTACGAAAGTGCCCCAGGATTGGCACCAAGTCATTTGGAGACGAGGCGGCAGCTAGGCCGGAGAAGTAACGAGGGCAGACTCCCGGATGTCAGCGGCTGGCATTTCGGAAATGCCCGTGAGTGGCCCGTGTGGGAATGCCCTTGCAAGAGCTCTACAGAAGGCCTTACGCTCCGGTCCGGAAACAGGCAGGCCCGCAGGAAGGGAGGAGGTATGAATGCAGCCCTTTACAGCATTTGCCAATGAAATGAGACTCTCGAATTCTCAGAAGGGCACTTAGAAAAAAGGGCACAGAATGGGATCTTCAAGGCCGCTAACTTAGGATCTGAGTTTTACGGAAGCCCTTCCTGGAGAGGAAAGGGTGGTGTATTCACTTCAGGTCGGGCTCTGCCCGCTGAAACGTGCAGCCACATCTTGGCAGCTGAACCTCGCACAGAAACCCAGGCAGGTTCTGGAGAAGGGGGAAGGAGCACTACCCTCCCGTGAGCTCCTGAGAAACAGCCACCTGCACGGGAGGACCCCAGCTACCTCCCTACGAGCCACTCCTCAATGTGGTGACGGGGGTGGGGGCGTGGGGAGAGAGTCCCGGTCCAGGCAAAGGGTGGGCTAGGAGTGCCTGGGACGGGGCCCGCTCTACCTGCTCAGACCTCAACAGTCATTCGGGATTCGATCAAGTGCTGGGGCCCACTTTTTGCTCAGCCTGTGGGGACGGTGAGCATTTCGTGGAAATGCGGCCATGGAGAGAACCCACGGCTGGGGACGTGGACCTGAGATAGGCGATGACCTAAAACCTACGTGGGCTTGCGGGCCATACCAGGAGCCCCTTCCTACAAAAGCACACATCCATACCTCTTTGCCTCACTCTGACAGGCCAGCCCCACCATCCCCATCTGTGTGTTCAACTCAGGCATTTGTCCTTAATCACTGAAACAGAGGCCTGCAAATCAGAGTGGCACGATAACACCTGCTCAAGTCCTCCCACAGCAGGCGGCACTTAGAACCAGCCTCGGGTTTCAGGTGCCAGGCCGGATGTATGGGCCTGGCACACCCTCATTTGGTCCCCACCCATTTGGTCTGAAAATAGAAACATGGCTAAGGAAAAAAATAAAGCATGCAGTAACACCACCTAAAATCACTTCTTCAGTGATTTTCAGTCGAAGCAACTAAGTGAAGATTCTGGCTTACTCACAAAACTCTGAACCTTTTCCTGTCCCATAAGAGATCTCAAAATACCAACACAGATGGTATTTTACTGACTTTTAAGTAAAGGGTTTTGAAGAGTAGCTGTGACCAGCCCGACCTTTGAGGACGCCATGCCGAAGGAGAAAACCTTTGCCTTCTGGTCACATTAAGGAAAATCCTCTTTCCCTCCTCCCTATGTATACCTTTTGTTTCAAACTCATCTGTATAGAAAAGAAATCAGCTTCTACTGTTCTCCAGTTTTAAAAATAAAACATCTCCCCCTTGATTATATGACTCAAATTCAGTTCAGACAGTAATCTGGCAAAAGTTATACAAAAAAGAGAAAATTAAATGAGTCACTTTTAGCTTAAAAATAGGGATGGTGTGAGCCAGCCATCATTTTTCTACGTCCTGGAACTTTATCCCCTGGTTTTATTTTAAAGCTTATTTTTTTTTATTGCCAGAACAAACATTCACAAAATCGAGACCTCGTACAAAAATGTAAGCATAGAAATAACTCAGGTGTTCACCTATTTAGGGTTTCACGCTATTTTGTTACTCTTATGAGCACAGCGTAACATGGATTTGTTTCAGAAATACGAAAAACAGACCCTGCAGTGCAAAGACTCAAAGCAAAGACAAAAGCAAACAACTTCTACCTCCAGAGTCTGGAAAATGCCATGAATCTAGTTTGGTAGTCGTTAAAACAAATGCATAAACGCGATATATTCCTTTGAAAAGCGTTTCCAATTAGGTAAAGCAGAAGCTGGGCTTTAGGAGGGCTTCCTTGGCAAAAGCTGGTAAAGACCTGCCAAGTTAAAATCACTTTGTCCAGTAACAGGCAATTGAGCCCATCCTTAGAAATTGTGGGTCCCCTGAGAAAGACCTCAGAGGGTCAAGAATTGCAATTTGTGGCTATTTTTAGCCAGCAATCACAGGATTTAAGCAGCCGCAAAGGAGCAAGTCAACCGCGTTAAATTCTAGACGAAAAAGAGCGGAGAGGACCAACCCGGATGAACCACAGTGCCCCGTTCTGCTCCTCCAGGCAGGCGTGCGTGCTCCCAAGGAGACTCTGCCCCGGCCTGGCCTCAGTTTCCTTCTCTTTAAGAGAGACTAGGCGGCAGCTCAGGTCCTCTTCCCCTCAATTACTGAAAGCCGCCACTGGAGACAAAAAGGGGTTTTCATGGAACACACAGAAAAGGAGAGTCTGTCAAATACCCGGTAACATTCATCAGGCACTGTTGCGTGGCAGACACTGCGCTAGACGCTCTGTGTGTACGAATTCTCTGCCTCAGAACAACTCTTCCAGAAAAGCATTTTCACCTCTATTTAAGACGAAGAAGGGGAACAGAAGTTGGAGGCTTCCTTTCGCAGGGCTCGGTGGGAGCAGGCCGGGCCAAGGAAAGGCGGGGCCGCCCAGACGGAGGGTCTGGGCCTGGGGATGGGGCGGG